CTATAAATCTGCCCTGGCCGGCTCCCCCGCCCACGCTCGCCTGATCAGCTCTCTAATCGGCTCCTTTTCCACCTTCCTCGGGTTAGGATACTGATTGCTCACCGCAATCTCAGCGGCCTTGTCAATATCCTCCTCCTTCATGCCGAAATCCTTCAGGGCACGCTTCACCTGCAACTTCTCGAGCAGGACGTTCAGCCCTTTGATGGCGTCGCCTTCGCTGCCGGGGAGTGCGGCGGCGAGTTTCTCCATGGCGTCCGGGATAGCGGGGGCGTTGTAGGATAGGGCGTGGGGAAGGACGATCGTGTGGGTTTCGGCGTGGGGGAGATTGAAGGAGCCGCCGAGCGTGTGGCAGAGTTTATGGTGCAGGGCCATTGAGGAGGAGCCGAGACAGACGCCGCATAGCCAGGCACCGTACTGTGCCTTTTCACGAGCGGGCTGGGACTGAGGGTTCTGGATGATTTCCGGGAGAGATTCGGCGAGGGCCTTGGTGCCCTCTAGAGCGAGGAGGGAGATGATTGGGTTTTTATTCTTTGCGTAGAGCGCTTCGACGGCGTGGGCGATAGCGTTGACTCCTGACGTGGCGCTGAGAGATGCCGGGAGGGTCATGGTCAGATCGACATCGTAGATGACCGTGCCAGGGAGAATCTTGGGGTCTGTCCGCGTGGTTTTGCGACCATCCTGCGTTTCGCCCAGGATGGGTGTCATTTCACTTCCGGCATAGGTGGTTGGAATGCAAATATGGTGTAGACCGGTGCGGACTGAGATCGCCTTGCCCAGTCCTGTTGTTGATCCTCCTCCTATTGAGACAACACAATCTGCGGATTTGGATTGAACATAAGCCATGGCTTCTTCGGTGATGTGCGAAGGAGTGTGCATGGTAGCGTTCGTGTAAGTGCCAGCAGGCTCAATCGACGCGGCGGTAAGGATTTTGGCTAGGTCTTCTGCCTGACTGACTTGCTGGGGAGTAGAGAGGATTAGTGGTGACTTGAAGCCGAGACGTCTGATTTCATCTGGAAGCTTTTGGATACTGCCTTTCCCAAAGACCACGCGGCCTGGGTTGGCGTTATACTCGAAAGGATCCATTGAGGTCTGATTGAGATGAGAGTCGATTGCGTTAGACACCAAAGTTCCGCAGAGTCGATTGTCAGTGAGGCTGAGGGCGGCAACCCAAGGTTACAGGGAGGTCTGATGGAGAGGGAGTTGAAGTGAGTTGGTTTTGTTAGAAATAGGCCCCGCAGCGCGGAGTATTTTGTCCACAAGTGAGCGCAGCGGAATCAATCGCGTCTCATATGCATAGGCATCGGAAAGGGGTTCTTGCTGCTCAAACTTTCGTGGGGCAATGCCGGGAGATGCACCCAAATCTCAACCCTGTGCTCAATTACCCCACCGTCTGGAGGAGATCAAGGGGCTGGCGAGCAGTCCCGTCTAGGCCTCTATCCGAAGGGCATGCAGGATGAGTTCATAAAGCTGACAAACCCTCGCACCAGAGATGAGAGATGAGATCCCGCTTCTTGTCAGTACATAATTGCTCGGAACAGATATATCACCGTCGATGCTGCCCAGCTCGCCGTCAATACCCCTAGAGCCTGCAACATCTGCTGTGTGGATCTGATTCCTTCATTGTAGCGGGATGCTAGGGGTACTGTGGCTCTGCTACGCCAGAAATCCCCAATGTGGTTGTATGCGAGGAAGAGGCCACCGGCATTGGCGGCACTGAGCAAGAATGGCTTGGTGTTCCGACCGGATGATACGGCGACAACGAGAATTACCGACGACACCAACGAGGATAGAGTCTGAGCCCATCCCCATCAGTGTCTGACATGGCAGGAGAGTGGGATCTCTTCAGCAACTTACAGCTAGCACACCACTAGCCTGTGTGGTTCTGGTTTTGTGAAGCTGTCGCGCAGCCGTGTTCGAGTAGCGTGATGCGCTTTCAGTTTGTGGCTCCCACTGATGGAGGTTATAAATTGCAATGGCAGATAGCAAGGTCAGGTAGACGCTGGCGCATGCCTGGGCAGCATGGTACATTTCAAGAAGGACAGACATGGTGGATGGGAGCAGCCGTTGAATGGCAGAGGGGTGGGAGTTTTGTCGAGAGACCCCAGAGAAAGCTTCTAAAGTTGATTGCATCAGGTGCTTGATGACTAAGCAAAATGTGTGCCAAGACATTTCTGGAGTTAGGGAACTTTTTGCACTTGTGAGAATGGGTTTCAAAGCCATTCTCCACTATATCCTATTGTCAATGAGGGCAATTACAGACTGGCCACCAGGACCTTGCAAGACATGGCTTTGACGAGGCTCCCAACCCGGACGACTGCCAAGGCCTAGCCTGACAATTCGTAAAAGCGGCACGGTCGCCCCACTTGACACCAAGCTAGCTTGGTTTCTCCTCGAGCCTTTTTCGTCTTGCTCCTTTCCCCTTGGCAATCACACTCTGTATCCTTGTCAACTATTAAATCCCACGATCCTAAGCTGTTTCCTCGTGGTAGGTACAGCAATACGGCGAGCTTGCCGCCTCGGCAGGATGGCGGATGAACTCACAGCGCCGCCTGTACTCTCTACGCCCGACACGCATATCCTAGACGAGACTCTTCCGGAATCTGCAAGGCGTCCGCGAGAGAATTTGTCCGACGAGCAGATCAAGACAAGGTACGAGATTAACAGGACGATCAACGAAATCAAGCAGCGAAGATGGAAGCGTGTGGCACTGCAATTTCCTGACCAGATGCTCCCCCATTCAGCAAGAGTCTACCAACTTTTGGCCAGGGGACTGCAAGAACAGGCAAAGACACCAGCTGGAACGCACAGAAATGGCACAGGCAATGGAACTCCAACTCCAGAGGATCTCGATTTGTCTGGACTTTCTTTCAACACGAAATCGGTCATGCTTACTATATTGGGCGACACCTCCTATGGCTCCTGCTGTGTGGATGAGATTGCTGCTGAGCATGTCGACGCAGACGCCGTCGTCCACTACGGCAGGGCTTGTCTATCGCCAACTGTAAGATTACCTGTATTACACATCTTCACTACGATGGATCTAGAAGCGGACGACGTGGTCACATCTTTCCAGACAGCGTTTCCGGATCCCGAGTCAAGGGTGACTTTAACAGCTGATGTCCCTTACGCTGCGCATGTACAGCCACTCTTCGAAACGTTACAAAAGGCGGGTTACTCGAACTTATTTGCTGCTTCAATTGTCCACGATCCGTCTTCATTAATCCCGAATCGGACGGTTCCACCTTCGGTGACAGAAAACCCTTCATCCTTGTCAGAATGGAGTCTCTTCCATATCTCCGACCCACCTACGTCCCTGCTCTTGACACTCCATTCCCGTATGGCCAGCATAAGAGTCTATCCCACCAACGCCATACAATTCCCTTCGAATTCTACGGCTAGCTCTTCCGCTCTGGAGACGTCAACGGCTCAACTCCTCCGCCGCCGCTACGCCCTCGTGACCTCGCTTACCACCGTCCCCATCTGGGGGATCCTAGTCAACACGCTGTCTGTCAAGAATTATCTGTCCATTTTGTCCCACATTCAATCTCTCATCTCCAACGCGGGCAAAAAGTCGTACCTCTTTGTTATCGGCAAACTTAGTCCTTCAAAACTCGCCAATTTCTCCGAGATCGGAGGGTGGGTGGTGATTGGGTGCTGGGAGAGTTCACTGGTGGACAGTAAGGAGTTTTACAGACCGATTATTACGCCATTCGAGTTGGAGATGGTTTTGAAGGCGGATGAGCAGAGGGTGTGGACTGGGCATTGGAGGGGTGACTTCCAGGGGGTTTTGGAGCATGAGGAGAGGCGGAAGGAGAATGAAGATGAACAAGCTCAGACTTCAAATGGATATGCCGATGCAAACGAGAACCGCGGGGGCAATCCTGACCCGGATTCAGATTCAGAATCCGAGCCGCCCGAGTTTGACCTTCGAACGGGCAGATATGTCTCCCGCACACGGCCGATGCAGAGATCTCGACGGCCAATTTCGTCCATGTCCGGCCCAGACTCCAATTCCAACACTTTGCGGCCTTCCACTGCGCTGACCAAAAGATCGAGCGGCGCCGTGATTACCGTGGGCGGTGTCGCCTCCCCGGCCGCCGAATATCTCGCGCAGAAACGCACTTGGCGCGGCTTGGGCAGCGATTTTGAGCTCAAATACGAGGAAGATGAGGCAGAGGCGGGGAGCATCATTGAGGAAGGAAGGACGGGTGTTGCGAGAGGGTACACGGTTGGAGAAGAGTCTGGGACAACTTGAATTGTGCCGTCGTGTGCTGTCACCGTGATCGAGATCCTGGGAAAAGATTTCTACATTTACCATCCGCCCTGCCGCCCTCTTTTGTTCCCCCAGCTCGGTACCTACCCTTTCTCCTTCCGTGCACATCTCTACCACATGAAAGACGTCTAACGACAGACTCAGCAACTGATATCGTAATAGCCCAGAGGTTTGATCCATTGCCGTCCAGTCTTTTCTATTGTACTCCGAGGTGCGTCGGCTGCACAAGGCTGGCTTCCCTTTCGTATCCGTTGACTCGAATGTCCGGTGGCTCGAGCCACCCCTCTAACCACTGATCAAACTTGACTTTTCCGAGTCATTCTGACATTTTGCCACTCATGGAGAATGCTATCATGATAGACGTTGCTCGATCGAGATGTCAAGGTGCAGTTCAGGAGAGCCTTGCGTCATGCCTCCGGATATCACGTCCGATCATTTGCCTGTACATAACCCGTTTAGGAAATGATGGTCCTCTTTACCGGTACCTTTATGGTCTAGCATCCGTCTCAGAAGTGGGAGAGTTGCAAGGTAGGTTACCGTGATCGACATGACCCTGATGTCAATGGATCTCAAAGTCTCCAGCGAGATGGGCTCACTCTGGACAAGAATGATAGCACTTTGACTCCCTTGAGCCGCGAGAATTCAACTCTCGGGCAAGCTTCACATCGACAAACACCTATATGTCCCGGTAAGAAAATCGAGTGGAAGCCCATTTTTAACTCTCACAATGGCAACGAAGAGCGTGACGAGATTGCTCCCCAAAGCTAATAGACCGGCCCTGTTGCTCCCGCAGGCACCACGAGCTCACCGCCTACTGTCTACCAGTCCAGTTCAGAATCAGGTGAAAACACTGCTTCAGGACAAAGAGAATGGATTTGGTTTCATCCGGCACAACCCCCGCACGCCCAAGCCTCGCAACAAAGGCGTGACTGAGATACGGGGCCCATACTACTCGTCGTATGGAAAGCGTCATCTGCAGGATGTGCTGGAAACTATGGGATACCATGTTGATGGACTCAAATTCGCCGGAGGGAGCTTCTCGATGATGCCCGAGGAGAGAGTGAGAGAGCTGATTGATCTCGCCCACGAACATGACGTGTATGTCAGCACAGGCGGGTGGATGGAACACATCTTGACCCAGCCCGATTCCAACACCACGGTAGAGAAGTACCTGCGGAAATGCAAGGACCTGGGATTCGACGTGATTGAGATCTCTTCGGGGTTCCTGTCCTTCCCGCCTGACGACTGGCTACGGCTGGTTGACAAGGTGCACAGCATGGGCATGGAGGCAAAACCTGAATTAGGCATCCAATTTGGGGCAGGTGGTGACACGGCAGCGGAAGATCTGGAAGCCACGGGCACATCCGACCCCAGCAAAGTGATCAATCTAGGCAAGAAGTTCATCGAAGCGGGCGTCGAGAGGATGATGATTGAGAGCGAGGGCATCACCGAGAACGTGAGGAGCTGGCGGACGGACGTGATCCAGGCAATCTTGCGCGACCTGCCTCAGGAAAAGGTCATGTTTGAGGCCGCAGATCCTCCGGTCTTCAACTGGTATGTCCGCGAATTCGGCATTGATGTCAACCTGTTTGTGGACCATTCGCAGATTGTGCAGTTGACCTGTCTGCGATCGGGCATCTGGGGCATGGCCGACACGTTTGGTAAGATTGTGAGCTACAGGGAATGAAGACGAGATACTTGTACGCGCCGAGGCTCATATGATGCTCAATACCCACTGTTTATGCGACAGCTATGTGGCAGCATAAATCATTATTGCGTTATCAGTACCAGGGTTGCCTGATATAGTGCCTCCAGTGCTATCTCCGTAAGGATCTTGGGTGTCAGCCGCTAGGAATAAGCCTAATATCAAGTCTATCGGTGGCCCCCAGCGCCGCAAGCGCCCCTGTTAGGTGCCTTACCGCCTGCAGGCCCCTACGAGGGAAACTAGTTAGGCACCCCAAGGCACCGTCAGCCACTGCACTCGCCTATTCTAGCTAGTGTGGCGGCCACGCACTCCTCCCTGCTCCTCCTTGTCTTGCTTGCGATTACTCCATCTGGCTTCTGTTGCGTTCTCTTTTCCATTGCTTCAATGAACACCGCCCCGAAAACAAACATCATCGTCCGCCCTGCATGACGGATCGCCCGGATGGACAAGAGCTCAGCACTCGGCCTTGTTCTTGGCCGAGGGAGGTGACTGGCCATTAATCCTACAATCCTCCAACCCTTGTGGCAGTGAAGCTGCGTGATTTGTTCTGGAGGCTTGACATCATGGTCTGATTCCTGCCAAACGCAAAAGACACATCAAGGTTTCCGCCATGGCAAAAATGTGGAAATACCTTCAGCTCGCCATTATTGCTCCCTTCACTCACTCACCACCAATACTACTAATATGCTCCTATTGAACCCCCGTGGTGATATGTTATGACATTCCCCCAAGAGCATTGCCATCCATCCTGGTGACTCGCCCTGTATCAAGGTGAAATTGGTCGCGTCTTCCTATCCTTATTTTCCTTTGTATCCCACTGTCTTTTTTGTGTCGTGTGCGTCTCCGGCTGGGACCACTTATCATCATGAAGTTTGCTCTACTGGCGATCATTGCCAGCACTGTGGCGGCCGGTGTGGATGGTGAGTATGAGAGACATGCGAGTTCTGCTCCCGGCAACTAATGTTTGACGCAGCACACGCCATCCCTCTGGAAAATGCCTATGTTGACACCTCAGTGACGGTCGAGAACCTGCGACGTTCCTTGCCGAACTCTCCCAAAGGATACACTCCCACCTTCCAGAATTGTCCTCAGAATGCTCCTGTGGTTCGAAGCGCCGCTTCGCTTTCGCCGAATGAGACACAATGGTTGCAGAAGCGGAGAAACAACACCATTGCCCCAATGCGCAATCTGTTGAGTCGATTGAACATCCAAGACTTTAATGCGACGCAATACATTGATCGTGTGGCCAACAACGCCTCTGCTCTACCCAACATTGGCATTGCCGTGTCGGGAGGCGGCTGGCGAGCACTCATGAACGGGGCTGGAGCACTGAAGGCATTCGACTCCCGCACCGCCGACAGCACTGCTAAGGGCAAACTTGGTGGTCTGCTCCAGTCTGCGACGTACCTGGCTGGCTTGAGTGGAGGGTCATGGTTGGTTGGGTCGCTATACATCAATAACTTTACGACCGTCGGGGCCCTACAGGCAGAAAAGAGTGGTTCGGTCTGGGAATTCGGCAACAGCGTCATTGAAGGTCCCGAGGAAAGCGGAATCCAAATCTTCAACACGGCCGAGTACTACGCCAACCTGGTGAGCGATGTTGATGGAAAAGCAAACGCCGGATTTGACACTTCTCTTACGGATCTTTGGGGTCGTGGGCTTTCCTACCAACTGATCAACGCCAGCGAAGGTGGCCCGGCTTACACCTGGTCCTCCATCGGCATTTCGGCGCCCTTTTTGAATGCTGAAGCCCCCTACCCTATCATCATTGCCGATTCACGAGCGCCGGGAGAAAAACTGATCTCATCCAACACGACCATCTATGAATTTAACCCTTATGAGATGGGTTCCTGGGATCCCACCTCTTTTGGCTTCGTCCCCATGACTCATCTGGGCACCAACTGGACAGCAGGTCGAGTGCCGGCTAATGAGAAATGTGTGGTAGGCTTCGACAATGCTGGATTTCTCATGGGAACATCGTCTACATTGTTCAACCAATTGATCCTACAACTCAATTCTACCGGGATTCCCGACGCCCTGCGAAATCTCGTTGCGGACTTACTGACGGACTTGGGTGATAACAACAACGATATTGCCGATTATACACCCAACCCCTTCTATCGGTATAACCCGCAGACCAACCCTTCAGCCAATTCAACGCGGCTTACACTTGTGGATGGTGGTGAAGACTTGGAAAACATTCCTCTTCACCCACTTATCCAACCCAATCGTCATGTCGATGTCATCTTTGCGGTCGACTCATCGGCCGACACCGACTTCTACTGGCCGAATGGGACTTCGATTGTGGCCACGTACGAACGGTCGCTGAGCGCCATGGCGAATGGCACCGACTTCCCAAGTATTCCTGACGTGAACACAATCGTCAATTTGGGTCTCAACACGCGTCCAACCTTCTTTGGCTGTGACACGTCGAATTTCACCGGTGGCACCAACATTCCTCCCTTGGTCGTCTACATCCCGAACTCGCCATACACGACATTCAGTAACGTCTCGACCTTCCAGCTGGAGACCAACAACACTCAGCGGGACGCCATCATCTTAAACGGGTTGAATGTTGCAACCATGGCCAATGGCACCCGCGACACGACTTGGCCGACCTGTGTGGCTTGCGCGATCTTGAGCCGCAGTTTGGAACGCACCAACACCGAGGTGCCTCAGGCTTGCACGAGCTGCTTCAACCGCTTCTGCTGGGATGGCACGCTCAATTCGACACAGCCAGCCAATTACGACCCTAAGCCTGTTCTCCAAACGGTGAATCTTCAGAGTGGAGGCTCCAAGCTCTTACCTAGGTGGGCGGTTGCTGCGGCTGCGGCGGCATTGGGCTACCATGCTATGTAAATGATTTTCGGATTGTCTAAGGTGGTGCATGATATCACTGGGTATTATTATGGTTGGATTCCAGGAATGGGATAAGCATTAGTCATTGGGTAGGTAGTCGAAGGCCAGGACATACACAAAAGAGGGGCTCACGTGAGCCTTCCCTACATACTGGGTATAATGATAGGATTGATGAAGCAAAACGGGAGGGTATTTGTACGTGAATGGTCATTGCTACGTGGTTTGGAAGAATCAAGGCTGGACTTTAGACCTGATTGTCCTTTTATGACCCCGAGGCGATGTGCCGACTGTTCTTTTGATAACACCGAGGCATAATTCCGACCTTGGAGTTTTAAGCGAGCAGCTCTGGGCCCTGGGTTCATGTGTGTTGGAGGTGTGGCCATGACTAGACACTGGTGGTAGGGGGCTAAACGAAATAGCGGCGGCGAAGGGCGCGTTGGTGCACGCGTTAAAATTGATAAGGCGACTCATGCCACCTCGGCCTGGCTCATCTTCACAAGGCCTGCCCTCCTCTTGAACTGAACTCGCCACTTGGGCATTGATGATCCCTTTACGCTGTACCACCAGCATCTCTTTTCTATTCCCAAGGCAGGTGTGACACCCCTTTCCCCTCCGAATGCGGAGAGGAGTGAGTGCCATGTTTGTAGAAGAGCGATGTTGGAATCCTCGACTGCGGCCGTATCTCGGGAACAGCTCATCCCACGCCCTTCCATCCCGCGTTACCGAATCCATGGACGGATCAGCGCGACGATCCAGGGGGAAATGCCCATCTGACTGGGAACTGGTGCAACCGGGATGCAGAACCGATTCGTCAATCATGCAGATTCACGCCCTCAACTCGACCCATGTGTGCGTTCGGCCAACACTCCGCTTCCCACCATGCTCGCTAAGTGGCTCAATTGGCTCCAGCAGACTGAGGTAGGTAGAAAAACTTTTTTTGGCTTTGACCCTCTCAGGGCTGGATGCTCGTTCGATATGCTTCCATCATCTGTCTTGGTAGCACATCACGTTCGCGCGGTGGGCAGTTGCCGCTGCCGTCATCCGGTCAGTGACGGTGGCTCTGGTCGGTGGACACCCAGCACCATGGGCAGGACTCAATATCCAGTTGGAGGGAAGGAACCACCGGGCAAGTCGCTGTCGGCTCTTTTTTTGCACCCTTCTAGGTACGCTCCTGACCTGGCCCGGTTTGTCATTCTCCTCTTCCCCCCCAGCGTACCCATCTCGACTCCAAGACTCCAAGTCATAAGTAAGAGGGAGTGAGCCAAAAACAATGTGGGTGAATCCTTGAAGTTGCTTTTGGTGCAAACAAGCCAAATATGGGGGAAATCATCGTCCAAGAATCGAGGCCGTCGCCGCCGGCGGGAGCCATCGATAAGGTCGACACCACCACAGACACCGACAGCCTAGCATCCTCCGAAGAACCCGTTCCGATCTTGGAGCCTCCTCCTCGTCACTCGAGCACGAATCTTCCCGATTCACTGACTGAAGATGGAACCACATATATCTACCTGGCATTTGACACTGACATCCCATTCGCCGACTTCTCGTCTGGCGCATCTTCGATACCTCCACCGAATCTCAAACAATATGAATCACCACTCACCTGGTCCACCACGCACAAGACCATCGTCTTGATATTGTCATGTGGCTGTACCTTTCTTGCTGCGTACAGTGCTGGCTCCTATTCCATCGCAGCGAGTCCTCAACGAGAGAAATGGAACCTGTCGGAAGTCGCCTTTAACACTGGCGTCACGACATGGGCCACAGGCTTCGCCGTCTCCCCCATGTTCCTTGCGCCATTTTCCGAAATCAACGGTCGGCGACCTGTCTTCATTGGTTCCGCAGTCATGTTTCTGGCGGGTCTCATCGCCTGTGCAACCACTCCGTCCTTTGGCGGAATGCTTGCAGCACGATTCTTCGTCGGGGCTGGGGCCAGCACCTTTGCGACCATGGTTGGAGGAGTCATGTCAGACTTGTATCATGCTGAACATCGAAACACACCAATGGCCATCTACAGTGGCTCCGCCCTGGCAGGCACTGGTATGGGACCACTTGTCTCTGGCTTCATCGTCGGTCGCGCCAATTTCCGCTGGGTCTACTATCATCAGATCATAGCCCTGGGACTCATGTTGGCCGTGGTGTATCTCTTCTTCAAAGAAACTCGCGGTTCGGTGCTCCTCAGCCGTCGAGCCAAAGTCTTGAATGCGTACTTCGATAAGATCGAGAATGAATCGGCCAACTCTTGTGGCGAGAAGTCGAGCACACCAGCCCGTATCCGCTACAAAGTTGCAGCAGATGAGAGTCGATCCTCGCTTGGCCGCATGTTGTACCTGTCACTAACAATTCCCTTCAAGCTTCTCACCACCGAACCTGTCGTCTTTTTCTTCTCGCTGTGGGTTTCCTTTGCATGGGCTCTGCTGTACATGACATTCTCCGTTATCCCTTTGGTGTTCCAGACCCGCCACAGCTTCAACGTCGAGCAGAGTGGAGGAATCTTCGCAGCCATTTCTATTGGCTCCATTCTGGCGACCTTGTTATCGATATACCAGGAAAAGTTGGCCAAGAAGAGATGGCCCAAACTCAACAGCAGTCCAGAAGGAAGATTGTATTTCCCTTGTCTTGAAGGGGCGCTTCTGCCGATCGGCCTGTTCTGGTTCGGATGGACGACATATTCCTCCATTCCTTGGATATCGCCGGTGCTTGCCATTGGATGTGCACAAATCGGTATCTTCGTCATCTACCTGGCCGTCTTCAACTATCTAGCTGACGTCTACCATCGTTACGCTTCGTCGGCATTGGCGGCCCAAAGTTTCATGCGGAACATTTTTGCCGCCGTCTTCCCGCTCTTCACAAACCAAATGTTCAACAATCTGGATTACCCGCCGGCTGCCAGTTTGTTGGGAGGAATCGCCGCCTTGTTGACGCTGGTGCCCTGGGTGCTACTTTTCAACGGTGAGAAGATTCGCGCACGCAGTAAGATTGCGAGGCAGATCATGTCGACGCACGGGAATTGAGAAGAAGCATCGAGTACCAGACTTTGTTAGATGATTGTTGGAGTTCAACAATCACAGGATTGAGTATCGGAATATATCGCAACCATTGAGCATTGGAGTTTGTCTCTTGAGGGGCCAAGTTATGGCGAATAGGACCAGTGTATTGTCAAGCGTCGCTGTTCTAGAAGCATGAGATGTCATTGCAGGATTCAACAGCACTAAGCACTGACATCCCACAAAGGGGTATACGTTTTGAGACCGAAGGTCTAAACTAGCTGACAGATAATATGAGAGTGAACATGTCTAACCGAGGGCCGTTACTCACAGGCGTTTACGAGGTTGACTTGTGATAGTCACCCCTGCGTCCTTTAGGAGAGAGGTAGGGATTGTTTGCGCCTGAAACAAAGGCGCACAGTAAATCAGCCTTACAGTATAGTGCATGGGGAGTACTACAAGGTACTCTAGGAGGGAAGCTGGGCCTAATGAGTGGGTGTCTGGGATCCTATGTAAGTAGATATGTATGTTCACGAGTATATATGTATATGAATTGGCTGGTGAGCTTTAGAAAAACCCCGACCCCGACCCCAAATCGGGGAATCTTGTGAAAACATAGGCTATGCATATGCATGTGCATGTATGCACATGTGTGTAGTGGACTTCTCACGCATAAACGTAATTTTGGACGGCATTCCTCGAGTTGTACGGAGTATTAGAGGAGGGGAATAGAGGACTGGATAGAGCAAGGACATCAGACACACTACCTCCCCATCAGATGTACTTGTACGAGGTATAAGGCTAAGAATGAATGGATGGATATTCGGTATGTGTAGCCCAGGACGGGACAGATGGACTGGGACACAATTCTCGAAGCGGACGGGTGTCCGCAGCTTCTCACTTTCAGGTATCGTATCCTTCCCTTCCCCCCACATCAACTATTCCAGGCAAGGTTCGCCTCTTTTCCACTCACTTCCGTTTCGCTCCTTTCTTTGTATCGGCTTTGTTTTCTGCTTGACCTATAACAGGCTGCATCCCCCTTAGTTTCATTGTCGACTTCGGTAAAGCGGATTCCGACGTAAAGTGAGGGAGGGGCAAAGCGCGAAGATCGGTGAACCCGTTTGAACGTCCCTTACCCCTTGGAGCTCACTATGACCAGCTGACTACGGGCGAACGGCACTGTTCTGAACCATTGTAGTCATCGCAGCATTGATCAGAACAGATCAAATTCCTACAGCTAAACAGGCGACTAGAGTTCTGTCTACCTTCCAATGACTGTTCCCACATGTTGCAGCGGTTATCCCGTTGGATACGGACCGCCACCGGTGCTCAGTATGTCGGAGGAATTTTGACACACAATGCATCCGAGGGCCCATGAACGAGGCGGGTTAAGACCCCCAATTTTTTAAGTCTTCTGTCAAACTGGAGGACTGCCCCATGCTGAATAAGCTCTCTCTTCGGCAGATCTGGCATGCGCAATAAACTTTGGTTCAATCCCCCTTCTTAGATCTTATAGACTCCCAGTGTTGACCGAGCCTTCATACCTAGCGTGGATCAGTACTCTGAAAAAGTGCTTGGTTAGACGGCAGATGATGGCTTCGGGGCAATCCTTTGAACGGTACAATGACTCAAGCGACATATCGGCCCCGTTCTGGTAATGTGTGGATGTGAAATACTCCACAAACGCATAATGCAACCACTAGAGATGATATCCCCCATCATCAGCAGGACAGTGCCGAGCAACGACCAAGTGGTGCCAAGTCGACGGAGGATGAAGACGAGATGACGTTCTGTTGTCTTATGAATCAAGTCGGCGGGAGAGACATTGAAACTGGAAATCAGTCGATCGGATGTTGTGACAATGTTACGTGCAGTAGCAATAACAGAGTCGAGGTAGTTGACCTTCGGCCTCGATCCACTGTGCTGACACAACACTTGCTGACCGCCCTGCTCTCAATGATATCCCCCGTCCGAGTAGGTCTGGCTGAAAAGTTGGACCATATCCCGTCCCCCCAGGCCATGTAGGTGATGCAGATTGCTGTCACCCAGGTGAAATTTTCGCAGTCCGAATGCCGAGGAGACTCGCGATCTTGGGGTCCAATAAGACCGCATCTTCGCCCTTACAGAACGGTACGACATCTAAGGGGAGGTCCCATTTAGACTTGGGGTAATCGAATTTCAGAGTATGAGCTCCCTGGTGATCGCCAGCAATGCCTAAAAAGTCGTAAATTTTTGTCGCGAGGCTCCATGCACTATGTATCAGGGACCTACGCAACGCAGTAGGTACAAAGGAATTGGAGTAGCTGAATGCCTTGTTCTATTCACGTAGTCCTATTGACAACGACTCAACGCTTGAGAAAAAGGAAGAGTTCTCTCTCAGCCGATTCAGGTGAGAGGAGACTCTTATAGCTTCCCCTCTTTCTGTCACGTGAAAAGGGTAAGGCAGCGTTAACCGATAGCCTTGTGCCTCAACCGTCCTTTGCCTTATCCTTTCCTTTTCTTTCTATACCGTCCACCCGATTCGGGTGGAGGGCGTAGAGTACTTGGGGACAACGGTGGGCTCGTGACACTATGATTCTCCATAGTCGAACAACACGTGCGCCAAGCTTAGAGAGGTGGCTTCTTGTCTCTGTTCGCACAATGGTTGTAGCCGGTCTGTCGATAGGAAGCTCATGTGCAGCCCGTCTCCGGGCCGTGCATCTGCGATCCTGCTACCCTGACTGAGGGACAATAATGCATTGGTGAAGAGCATACTGAACTGTGCCCATGAAGCCGACTTGCCCCAACAGTGCACTTGAACTTCTCTGGCGAGAATGAGCTCCAGCAGAATCCATGTCCTGCTACAGTAGCTTCGCCGCTCCATGTCTGCCATACCAACCACTACTGCGTTGAATTAGTCGGGATTTGATTTCGGTGTCATATTGTATCTGATTCTAGGACATCGAACAACGTGTTGGTGCATTGTGTCCCATTCCCCAACCAGCAAAGCACACGTGTTGCAGATCGATAAATTTTGCCCATGAACTGCACCTGATGATTGCGTTCGGCAGTGTTTGATTGATCAATGCAGAGCGGAACGATCCACGGAGCGTGCGCACCAAGTCGACCTGATGGATGGCAGGGCCAGGCTGGGCTCCCCAGGAGCCGACTTGGGCCTTTGCCGCTAGTCTCTTTTTAGCCGCACTAGCCCGTGAAGGACGTCGACCATTTAACCTCCATTGACCTGGCACCGAATAAGGCCCCGCTCGCGACTCGCGAATTCCTTCTCTCTCTTCAACGTCTCTCTTCTCGCACCGCCTCCCACCGTCACAGACAAGAACCCTCTCGCGCCATCCATGCTCCTGCCGCGCTGCCCTTGCCCTCGCGCCCCTACGTGGTTTCGGCTGACGCTATGCGCTACAAGGATGATGGTGACGCCTGTCTTTCTCACTACCCTCGTGGGCGACTTGGGCCCCGGGGGAGGCTTTTCGTGGTGCCCAGGTGATGGAGCCCAAAAGGGCCCTGCTTCCTCGAAAACCTGAACGTTTCCTCTTCCCCCGCTGTTCCACTTAATCCCTCTCCCTCTCTCTCCCTCTCTCACACGCAATTTCACTCACTTTTTTCTTGTGCTCTAATCTCGCGGAAGAGTCAGCGTATTCCCATCCGGCACAGCCCTCATCCCGCATCGGGTCCCTTTACCCCAGCACTGGCACAATGCCTCCGCAGAGGAGGCGAAGAAGGCAAGGGAGGAGAAGTCTATCGAGGAATGTACTCGGCTGGGCCTGGATGACAGTCCCGATATCGCCGAGTTAACTGAATAGCGGCGCAAAAGGTTGATGGCGGAGTGGAAAGAGTAGGTCGATGTTTCTTATTGTCACTGCGCTCCTTTCAGCGCCAACTCCATTAACAGGCCGCTAACCGCTACCGTCTTCAGCTACTGCGGTCTCCTTAAAGACCCGGAAGACCCAGATAGGCCGGTTGACCTAGATCGAGTTTGGCTTGACCTCTGCTTGAACGACGAGCTTGCGAAGACTAGGTGTGTGGCTTTCCTGAAGGCCTACGTCAGGGACTCCGAGTAGGAGTTCTCTATCCTCGTCCCGCTAGAGGAGACGGAGGAGGAGCCACAGAAGACGGAGTGAAGGAGGACGCTCACCTGGGCCCATAGCCTGCTTAACGTCTAGAGGTCCCTTATTACCGAAGCGAATGCTACCGTTCTTTTAAAAATGAGGAAGAAGGACCCTACGAGAAAGCATACGTAGAGGTTAAAATTTATGGATCATACTAATAGACTAGGCTAAGGGCCGGTTTTTGAGATTTCGAAGGTTAGCCAAATGCCCCTCTCCTCCTGCCGTCACTAATCTCCCTTCCCCTTAGAGACACCATGTTAGGTACCCCTTCTCTCGGCCTCCTGGCCTTGACTCAAAGGATATAGATAGAGAAGCTGGAGGCCCTCGAAGAGGACCTTAGGCTTCAGTACCTTGCCATTCTACATCCTACCTTGTACTACTCGCAGTGTTACGTGATCCTCCCTCGACACCCACTTACGTGATAGTCGCACGCGGGGCGTACGATTGTTACACCAAGGATGGACTAAGTTACCATATTAATATCATTGTGCTTAACTTATCTGCGCCGTCGACTGCGAATTTATTTTAACCGCTCTCGCCTAGTGCCATCGTCTCCACATCGCAGTGCAGCCTGGTACGCTACCAGCATTTTAATCTATCTAGAACCTTGTTTACGCAGCCCCGGGGTTCAAGAGAAAAGTTCTCTCTGTTACGGATCTGAAGCGTGTACAGAATACAATTGTCGACCTCGTGGCCTTCGAAGTCGTCCTTCATGGCAGCCCATACAGCCCGAGCCAGATCTTCAATCGAACAGGAATAGTCAACCTCAAGGGACCCTGGCTTCAGGTCTGCCAGACCCAGTAGCGCATATACATTGTCGTGTTGCATGCTGCAAGAATGCCGTCGGAAAGTGTCCATCAGCGTTATGAGGTGCTGCGGCTTAAATGTCATGGTTGCGTCTCCCAGTGTTTCCCAGAACAATGGAAGCCCCGTTGCCGAGGTATACCTAAATCTCGCTGCATTGGGGTCGTAACCGATGAATCTGCGGAAGGACCAAAGCTGCAAAGCATCAATCTTCTCGTCGTCTGTATTCAATAGGTCGACGCCCCCGTAGGGGCCCCGGTCCACTTCCGACCCAGGATACCTACGATAGTCTCCCATATGATACTCCCAGGCCGGCTTCCACGCACTAGATTCTAAAAAGAAGTCCCCCAGTATATGTGAGACCCCCTTGGCGATCCGGGTTATGGGGATGGTGGAGGTCCAGTGAGAGGAGTGACAGGTGACGACTTGTGCCGTCTGGCCAGAGAGAAAAACCTCCTGGATGATCCATTTGCGCAGCCAGTAGGGGTTCTGAAGCACACGAACCATGCCTCTCCTGCACGACGGAGAGAGGGAACTCCAGCGATAACGCATTCTCTCGAGTGTTCTAAAGTCATCCCCAAAAGAGACACCCCGCACAGAGTTATTCTCACCCTCACACCTCTCGAAAAACTCCAAGAGACCATGAGACTCAACTTCGCCGAGAGGACCAAGCCATATGAGTACCCGATATGCGCGTGAATAAATGTGGCCCATCATGGCCACTTGTCTGTTCCTTTCGCGTATATCCTTCTGATTGATACACAGGGCGTCAATCCACAGATTATACAGCCATCCTTCTTGTCTTGCGCGGAGCAAGAAATCGTACAGATTGCGGCGCACGACGACAGCGTGGCCGTTGACTGTGATTTTTCGGTTATCCTTGTTGTCTCCCCACTTGTACGAGAGGGCTGAGAACAATGGATCCGCTGCACTGCTTTCCAAGTCCACCTCATGGAAAGTGCAGACGAGGCTGTCGCCTGTGTTGCCCGGGTCGATGTCGAGAAGACGAATGGACGTTGCCGTTAAGAGATGAGTGAATGGCCCTGACAGGGGCATAGCGGGTTTGCATCGATTCTCGTCTGAAACTTTAGAGTTGCGACTCGCAACCCAAATGAACGAAGATTTCGAAGGCTGCCCTGCCCGGAATCTGAGTGAAGAAATAGGACGCTCTCGCGTGAGGAAAAAGTGCTGGGCTGTTCTGGCCGAGCCACTTTACAACATCAGTGTGTCGCTGGTGCAGTGCTGAAGAAAACGGCTCCTGAATCGAATGAAATGTCACGTGCACACCATTTGCAGACCGTGGGGACTTCAAAGGACAATCGTTCTGCAAGTTCTGCTCAGCCAAACTCATGAAACGCTGGCATTGTAATAGGCAGGACGAGTCACCACGCAGACGGAAGGATTCCAAGTTTCTAGGCAGCAGGCTTGGCTGAAACGTATCCGAGGTGCGGTTGGCAACTGCAACCGAGGCCGAAAGGGGCTCCCAGAGCCCGAACAGGCTTTGCGGATTGGATTCAAGGCATACCCCCTGTATCTCGCCCTATGCTCTGGCTTGCTCTCCTGGCGCACGGAGCATGAGTTTTTCCGCTCCGAGGCAAAATTAAACCCCTCGGAAAACTGAGGCATAAACCTCAAGTTTCTGAGATGGTTCATTGCAGTTCGATAGGAATAGATGCAGATGGAACGAACCCGATGAGTAGGTTTTCCAAGTCGAGTTGATGGCAGGCCATTGATTCGCCTACAGAGTGGTTCAGGATCGCAATCGGGCTCCTAGTTGTAGAAGATCCCGAACCGGCTCCAAGGAGCCTAAAACTCAAGTGTTTGCAGCATTTGGTTCTGTATTAATCAAGATACATGCAACCGGGAATATGTAGGCAAAAGAGCGAGCTAGTATTATTCCAAAAAGTATTGAAAACAATCCATTTAAGGAAAGTCGAAACAGTCATGAAATAATAAGTACCGGTTGACCATCATCTATACCCACAGCAGCCCGAAAACAGCATTGTAGACACTCATTCATTCGCAAAATCCAGTGCGCCTTTGATTCCGACCGTTGGTTCGTCTCGAGAGACAATAACACGCAGCGAAATCGCTCGTCGCCTCTTGCGACAGTGATCGCCTTTCCATGAACAGAATAACACTCAACTTTCTCGGCATTGTGCGCGAATGAGATGACTTTCTTGCACTGTCGGTTCCGACAATTTACCAAGCCTCGAGCTAAGCACGCTTCATCCGCTAGCTTTCCGGGGTCAATATGAACGGCTGCACCTTTTTTATCCTCAAGCTTATAACTGACCCTCAGAGAGCGAACATACTCTTGAGCAAGCATTGAGATCTCAGTGAAGTCTGGTACTTCATCCGTCAACCCGGTGTAATGTCCATTAGGATGATGCTCTCGATCTAAAACGAAGTCAAATGGCTTTCCATCCCGTTCAATTTTACTAGGCACGACATACACTCTTCCAACCAAGTTTCGGTTAAGTGATAACTCCCGAAGCATATCGAGGTAAAAGCAAAGTCCGCCTGTGGAGACTGCAGTGACATCGAGTATATGGCTTAGACCAAAGGTTTCTTAACCTGTGAAGAGTTTCGTCGCATCTAAAAGCCTAGTTTCTACAATTGAAATATCCGAATCAATATTGCGGGTTGTTGTTTCTAAAACTCGATGTATGTAACCGATGCATTTCACCTTTTCTAGAAAGTCCTCGTCTGTGTCCGTCCTCATTCGTCGTTGCCTGACGTAAAATAGTTCGAAACCGGCTCGTGAAGGCAGAATCCCATTCACAATCAATATACCAGCCATCGCCGTAGACATGACCACAATGGATTCAAAAATTGCTGAAAGACAGAATGCCTCATCTTCTGTGGGGCCTCCATCGAAGCATTCGGCACATTTGCATATCTCCTCTATGATGGCGATTTGCTGCTCATAGCGTGTCTGCGCATCGATAAGACTTAACCGTACACCAGATTCCATGTTCTCTTTCGTAACTTCCAACTCTGGGAACCATGCAAGGGTATTCCCGACGAATCCCAAACCACTTGCGGAGTCGAAATGGGACCGCCATTCGCCTAGAATCTCTCGGTCAAAGCTCGGATCGCCACATGTGATCGCTTTGAAGATACGTGCTGCACAACCTATAGCAGTGCCGACGATTTTGGGATTTTTCATAAGTCTCAGGAAATCGCTCCCAAATGCTTCAGAGAGGCAATTGTCCCAGCGAAGCCTTCCACTCATGGTTGTCATTTGTAAATCTTCAGATTCCCGATGCAGGAATTCACCACTGTTTCTTAAGTAATAGGTATTCGTGACCAATTGCATTTCCAGTGGATTTGCGTCGATATCAGAGTTAAAAATGAGCTGGATTTGCGCGTCGGAATGTGTTGAAATGTTCGAGTAGAGTAATTGTCCCTCACAAGAGATGGTCACAGATAAATCGAGAAGCCAAACTGCGACAGCCGCAAGCCAGCCACAGGCCGGCCCTCCCCTGATCGATATAGAAGAGATCTCCTTGTAAGAGACTTTACACATGCCTGTCAATGCTGCTGCAAAGTCTTTTGGAAAGGGAAAACTTCTACCAGTCCTAACTGCTTGTATATCCATAACATACGTTGTAAAACGTGTCTTGGATGGTCCGAGGGTCATGAATTGCTCAGCTAGCACTGGGAAAGGAGTTGCTGCAAACACTCCCTCGCACGCCTTTATTAGCGCTGACCACTGAAGTCCGGATGGAGTAAGATGTCCTGGGAGTTTGTAAGGCTGAGTCATTTCGAGCAGCACTTCCGCCGCTAGGTTCGTCGGGAAGCATTCTCCTATAGCGCCGCATAATGCTAATAATGCTGTTCCTTCTTGCGAATCCCTCATAGTCCGCACGAGGCTCCTTATGCCGAAGCCAAACTATAAGACATCCCCAAAACTGCCGTACGATCTCAATTTTTCCAACGCTTCTTGTACATTTGCTCTGCCAGCAGGGCCGAGATAGGATCTTTGACTGAGGATTAGGCCGATTGAGATGGTGAGTCCGTCAACATTGGTAGATGATAATCGGCCTAGGATTCCAACCGAAAATGAAAGGATTTGTCGTTCTAGATTGACCAGTCAATTGTCCCTTACTGACTGAAGTTGCTGTTGGTAACGGGAAGGTAGGGTTGTGATTCAGAAGGTATATTTGGGTTCTGCCTGAGAGTATTTAGCTCTTCAAACCGAGCTCGAGAGAAATTGGGTCTCCGGGTCTCAATATGACACTTTAAAAGTCAATTCTAGTTTGAATATTTAGGGCGAGTCCCTCTTTAGCGGGGGAAAGATATATGTGTCCTCCAATATTCTGCTTTTTGGTGGCCAGAGCCCTGAGAATCGAAAGCGACTGATGGATAAGTCGGATCAGAAACAGAATAGGCGGCAGTTAAAACCTACACGAAACTCACATCGTTTTAGTAGGAGGCGAATCCCCTACAGTGGAAAGGCATCTAGGCAGCATGTGGAACACTAGGCGCCAGCCTTGGCCGAGACACTTGAGTTCTATGGTTAGTAATTCTTACTGTTTAACACTGACCACACCAGGGGGGGTTTTTTTTTTCAGCAACCACTAAGGCACGATTCAATAGGCTTAGACGTATGGCTTGAGTGCAATGCACAAAATTAGGCAGCGAAGGAGCAGGGATCCGCCAGGTCAACATTGGTTATCTAAAACGGATGTCTACCGATATGCAAGTATAACCGATCCCTTGAGGCCTAATTAGAACCCTTATAGGTCCATGTGATGCCAAGAATAAATTAACCCCTCAGAAAAGAGAGGGTCAAACCTCAGGTTACTGTGGTGGTTCATTGTGGTTCGATAGGAATACAGGCACACGGAATGAACCCGCAAGTCGAGTTGATGGCTGGCTCTTAACCCGTGTTGGCCGGGACGCCAATCGCGCTAATGCCACTACTCATCTTTGCACAGCCTGATGATGGGCACGGCGAGACCTCTCTGTCTCCCCTGAAGATGAAGTAGCTTTGAGTGTTCCGGTTGGCTTCAATACGCCTCATTTTAGCACAACAGTTTCAATCTGAGACAGGAGACGGCCTGAACCCTATCTCTTTCCTTTCTTTCATCGTTTCGTAGCGTTCAGGGGTATATGCAGAAGCCATATATAAGCATTTGTCTAGCATTATTTTGCAAGAGACAGAGGCCGCAATTCACTCATTTGGACAACATGAGACTCCAAGTTAGGAGGGCTTTGGGCTCCAAGAGATGAACTGAGGTCCCCATCGTGTAATCCAGCAAGCGCAAGGCATACAACCAACTTTCTCACAAAACAGGACGTTCGAACTTCACGTTTCTTCTGTATTTGGTTCGATATCGATCAGAATCGCATGCGTACAGAGTCGGCACTGAAACGAAACCAATACTTGTCTACACGAAATGTAGCAAATCCCTACAAAGGCGAAAAGACACTTCTCTCAGCTCATTCTCTCTCGGTCTGTGTGCATGCACCTCCTCATCGCAAACACACCGACCCAAGACCATGATGCTAGCTCCGCCGGTACCGGGCCCCTTCACATTACTAGATCAAGTACCAGAGGCTTTTCAGCTGAGATGATGGAATTGGGAATGGGCAAGGATGTCTCCAGGTGCTGCCATCGGTAGCGCAACCAAGTACAAAGTCTGGCAACCTTTTTAGGATTCTTGCCAGAAATTTCCTTCTTGCTACCCAGACTTCTTGCTTGCAGTTGACCTCATCTTCTACCGCCTACAGTCCTAAATTGCCTCCCCCTACCTATTGCTCGTCCCCCCCCGCCCCGAAAGACCCTCTGTTTAGCATTGAAAATTGCCAAAAATCCAAATTAAACTCGCGGCCAATACTCGAATATGGGAGCCTCTACAGAAAAGTCGGCATATCCACTGTTGTCGCAGAACAAGACTGAGTACAGAAAATGAAATTTTTAAGTAGATCGTTTCCGTGCTGACGAATTTGGCATGGTTATTGAGGGGATGAGTGAACAATTCTTCTTGTGGTGTTTCCTCAAAAATAACTACATAGGGACAGCACGAAACTTTCGCTAAAGCGGGGCCCGAGGCAGAGAAAGGGCCCGACCCTGTGTCATTGAAAAGGAAGGAAAGGGGAGAGAGGTGTGTTTGTATGGGACCAAATTTAGACATTTCGAAAACATCAAATTAAGGGCTCCAGAAACTTAAGGTTTATGCCTCGATTTTGTGAAGGCTTTAGTTTTAGCTCGGAACGAAAAACCTCATGCTCTATGCTTTCGAGAAAATTTAACTACCTTTAGTCATTCGTATTTTCATTCAGAAAAGGGAGCGAGGCCGTTTTAATCGGGCACTTAAGGAGCGTCGAAGTCGCATAGTAGAGTATAGTGAAGCGCTAAGAGTAAGCAAAGGGGAGTAAAAGGAAGTAAAGGGGAGTAAAGGGGAGTAAAGGGGAGTAAAGGGGAGTAAAGGGGAGTAAAGGGGAGTAAAGGGGAGTAAAGGGCGAAGGGCGAAGGGCGAGCTATAGGGAGTACACAGCGTACATTTTTAACTCTGAAGTTAACGTATGGGCGTTGTCTAAGGGAATGCTATTTTACGGACGAAGCGTGGGTCATTCGGGGGTCATGTAAACGTAGTCACACCGCCGAACCTTTACCTTGTATAATAAGCGCAACAGTCTTTACGAGCCTCGGCGGACCTGCAAGAGTGTTTGAAGAAGACAATAGGGTAAATGGCGATGCCATATATATATCCGGAGCCTTCCAATATTCTCCCCAGAATGACGGTATCCTGGTATACTATTCGCCGCATTCCTCCGCTCCTAAGCCACCCCATAGTCCAAGGTTAGCGTCGACTCCAGGGACCGTAAGGCCGAAGAGGTCCATAATATTTGTGCCCATTGAGATATCATCCTGCACGTAGTTCGAATGGTTGTTGATTGGGTATGTTAAGTGTTCCATGGATCCCGACGAGGTATTAGCAGAATCTTGTAGGATCGGGAGCTGTTGAAACGCCTTAATGTAGACATAAATTAACGAGATCCACCGTGAGAGAGCAGCTTACCAGGGAAAGGGGCGAGACACTCACTTGGTCTAGGTTATCCTGTACTTGAGAGGAAGCGACCATTGAACCAACCAGGGGGACATTGCTATAACCGGCGGGGTTTGGGCCTGAATTCAAGGGTAGAACTGGCCAGCTGAGAGCCGAAGATAGCGTGCTTTGCTGCTTGAGAGAGGATTCGCTTTTTGAGCCCCGATTTTGAACGTCTCTCGTGTATTCTGCTGCAATAAAGGCAAATTCAGTTATCATTGAACCGGGGAGGGCGCCGCCACTTGCGTAGTCGATTTGACTAAAATGACCACCCGCGACGTGCAAAAGTGCCAGGTTGCTTGCTGTTTCTGGATGGTTGGGATTGTGGACGATGAAATCGAAAAGCACAAACAGCGCGGCAATCGGTATGCCTACCAGAACCCTGGTAACAGCTGCTATCAGAAACTTTGTTCAAGCGGGAGTGCACCACCTCTATACTAGAGCTAGGACTTACCACATCGGTGTATGCGGTTCAACATCTATGAACCTGCTCAACTCAAGGATGGATCTTGAAGCCTTGATGATGGCCATGTTGCTGTCAAACTGTCGGGTGGGGGTGGCAGCTTCTTCAGGTCGACTTTCGAGATGCAATCTTGCACGGGAAAGAGCTAGAAGAAGTCCATAATAAAGATAGTGAGTCCAGAGGGCCACAACTCTCGTCAATGGGCCGGGCAGGTAATTGTCCCAAAAAGGAGCCCCGGGTCGAATGAATTCCGGGATTGACATGCGCCATTGTTGCAGTTCAGTTTCCAACTGATCAATGACAGCGCAGAAGTATTCTCGTGAGTTCCCCGTCACACCAATGGAGAATAGAGAGCTATATGCCCGAGAAAGCAAACGTGCATGTCTCGACCAAGCCAAAAACCAATTGTACTCGCCGAAAGATGCCTCCGACACCGTCGGAACACAGTGGCCGATATCTGTGTCGTTGAAAAACTGAATACGTAAGCATGCGGCAACAGTGAGAACCGAATTTTGCAGCGGTAAGGCTAAGTATCGAACTTACAGAGCTCCTCCCACAGTAGAAGCTCGATGTTTTTTCAATGCTGTACAAGACCCAAAATGTCCGTGCGTAAGACTTGAGAACTGCGTCCTTCTGTCTGCTGAGCGGAATCTTTTGCACTCTTCTGGAACTTTCGGTAAGAATGATGTGCTCGATTTGGAGACAGGACAACGAAAGTGTGAAGATGGTCATGGCTGTAAGTGCCTGCAGAAGCAAAAGAGAGTCAGGAAGAGTCAGGAGGTCGGGAAACGCGGCTAGTGCCACTGAAAATAGCAGCCATGATCTCGATTTCCCTGGTTCAAAACTTCCGTACCCGGAGTGTTGGCAGCCAAGGGCCAGAACGGCATGATATAAAGCCGACAATGCCTTGTTGGTGATCATTTCCTGAGAGAAGTTAGGGTTGGAAATCGTCTGTTCAAACGTGGCACGGTCGAGGAATGGGTAAAATGGGTGGATTCTCTCAAAGTAGCCTGTCCACAGTCAACAAAACACTGAAACCTATCTTGAACTGTAGAACAAGGAGGCAGCACAGGTACATACATTTCACGTAGGTAGACGCAACTTCCCACTCGAGAATGACCTCCTGAGTATTTGATCTCCGGAGGAGGGTGCCACTCGGCGATGGCGGGCCGCCGCGAACTCGTCCATTGATCACCTCTGCCGCTCTTCGTAACAAGTCATTCAGCTTGTTGTTTTGGAGGCGTGCTGACAAGGCTGTCATTCTTGATTCAGAGAAAAAGCTGAGGCTGTAGTTTCCACCTACACCGCCGGTTAGATAGTAACTACACGGCCAGACGGCGACGTACTGAAAATTCCATTTCCCTGGTAAACAAGCATAAGCAGCGTAGTACGCCTTTGGAAGTTTCTGAACATACTTTGAACGGGAAAAACTTCCCTTGTGAAGAACCGGCAGGCCAGGACTGCGCAAGGAGACGATCGACATAAAGCTGAGGAAGCACTTCAGGTATCTGGGGTAATTCTCTGTGATTGAAATTGCGAATAACAGACTCCTCGTTGTCCTACCCTGCATCAGCCTCTGTGTAGACCCCGGCATTCTTCTCACGAAAGGAATCGGTGTGAGAGGGGAGAACACACCGTGTTTTGTTGGTTCAAATGCTCCAGCACACTTGGCCCCGGTGGCCCGTTTGTCGCTTATCACAGAGAGGTTAGTATGCTCCGTTCAAATTGGACAGGCCCAGTTGAATCCCACGCACAGCTCTTTAATTCCGAGCCTTTTGCTCGACGACGTCGTGACTGTTTGGCGGCACCAAAATAACACGTCTCACCGCGACGCTTCTCGCGAAGTATTAGCCACATTTCCAAAGCTCCAAGGCATGGAGATTGTATACGGTGCAGTTCACACATGAGCCAGATGGTCCTCGGCCTTGGGCTAATCAGCTTGACATACTCCAAATTAGATTTCTTGGCGGCCATATTTGCTTACCAGAACAACGCACTTTACGATCCTTGCAGGAACCACATGCTTTGAGCATCTTTGCTACGCCATCTTTCTCAGTTGCCATATTGAACACGCTGCACACTGACTTCTCGACAGTGAGAATAAAGGTGCAATTTCCTCGCGGGCGGAAGTTTCTTGAATTCTTGGGCTAGGTTAATTGCTAATGGTTGTCACCGAGAGATCTCGCTGACGCTCCCCCCTTAAACCCTCGGTGCCGAATGCATCTCCACTGTGGGTAACAATCCGGCCCTGGGATTGGTATTTCGGATTTTCGGGAATCTCTCAGGATATGATACAACGTGGGCCTTGACTTGTCCTTGGATCATCAAACGTCTCCTCGGCCGAGGACACACCACGCTCATGATAGTTAATCCCTGAAGAGACGGGCGTGTCATTTTGCAAGATTTCCCCTGCATCTCGGACAATTGCAGGATGATCATGCTACATGTCGGCCGAGCCTTGCTGGTATATCAAGGACATGGCTTCCACATCTCTCGACTTGGTTCTGCTGCAGACTGGGACGTCGGCTGGTATTTCCGCCACAATCTTACGACGCTATGGACGATACGTCTCAGAGTATACCTCATTCGATGCTATCCTTGAATACTGTTTCGCCTTCCGACCCCATGCGAGAGGATGAATCAACATCTCATATTGACCAAGAAAAGAGGGGAAAGGCAGCCACATTGGAGTCTACATCCCCACGCTCGCTGCGCAGAGATCATACAGACCGGTTTGCACAGCTTGTGCGAGCATCCTCCGAAATCGTGCGTGGTATCAATCCCTTCCTCGATCTTGATCAACCTTCTCTGGATCCAAGCTCGCCACAGTTTGATATCACACTGTGGGCAAAGACGTTCTTCGAAGCAATCTCGAACGACCCCGAGAGGTATCCTCAACGTTCAGCGGGACTCTCTTACCGTGATGTCAACGTCTACGGGCAATATGAACCGATAGACTACCAGTCAGATGTGGTCAATGTGGTGCTGGGTATCCCAAAGATGATCATATCCGCCATCAGCAGGCGAGGAAAAGATGTCCAGATCCTGAAAGATTTCGAAGGCCTAGTCAAGAGCGGCGAAATGCTGCTGGTCCTGGGTCAACCCGGCAGGTGGGTCAGCATGTTTACTTAATTTTTACAGTTTGTTCATCGGCTTGACCTCGAGTAGTGGCGTTTCGACCTTTCTGAAGACGGTGGCGGGCCAAACGCGTGGCTTATGTCTCGACTCGAGATCTGAGATCAGCTATCAAGGTGAGACTCCACCGAACCAACCAAAGCCAACAACAGTGACGCGCTAAGCACGACAACACAGGTATCCCATGGGATGTGATGCATGGGCGGTTCCGAGGCGAAATTATCTATCAAGCAGAAACTGATGTCCATTTTCCCCATCTGACCGTGGGTCAAACATTGTCATTTGCTGCTGCGGCGAGGACTCCAAGAAATCGGCTTCCTGGAGTGAGTCGCAAGAGACACGCAGAGATCATCAGAGACGTCGCGATGGCTGTCTTTGGCATTTCCCATACTATCAATACGAGGGTGGGCGACGACTTTGTCAGAGGCATTAGCGGAGGAGAGAGAAAACGTGTCAGTCTTGCTGAAGTTGCTCTCAACCAAAGTCAAATTCAATGCTGGGATAATAGTACTCGTGGATTGGACAGTGCAACGGCACTCCAATTTATCAAGACTCTCAGATTGTCGACAGAAGTCGCAGGGACGACGACCCTAGTAGCCATTTACCAGGCTTCGCAAGCGGTCTACGACGTAAGTGCATTGCAAGAAGGACTATATCAACAAGGAAGGGATGAGGTGAAATCTAACAGATATATCAACCAGGTGTTTGACAAGGTTGTCTTGCTTTACGAAGGCAGGCAGATATATTTCGGTAACACGGAAGACGCGAAGAGATATTTCGTCGACTTGGGCTTCCATTGTCCTGAACGGCAGACAACCGCCGACTTTCTCACTTCGCTCACCAATCCCGCCGAACGGATCGTCCGCCCTGGGTTTGAGAACCTCGTTCCTCGCACGCCGAAGGAATTTGCTCAAACATGGCAAGAAAGCAGCACGAGAGAGAACTTGCTCCACGCCATCGCAGCCTTCGAACAAGAGTATCCAAAGGCTAGTTCCTCTCTCGAAACATTTAAGAAATCAAGGAAGGCTCAGCAAGGTTCTTTAGTGTTTGACAACCCCGTGGTTTCTCCCAGTCCAGCGAATCTTGACACTGACCAAATCTCTCAGGCCTAGCAAGTCTCCTTACACGATCTCAGTACCGATGCAAATCAAACTGTGCATCATCCGTGGATTTCAGAGATTAATGGGCAACATGTCGTTTTTCCTAATTACGGTTTTTGGGAACTTTGCCATATCACTAGTGCTCGGAAGTGTGTTCTACGACCTACCTTTTTCTACTGCGAGCATCAGCAGTAGAGGAACCCTCCTTTACTTTGCTATCCTCTTCAATGCACTGAACAGTGCCCTCGAGGTTCGGGTTTTCCGGAATCAAACTCCGAGATGACATGAATTAATGTGGACAGATTTTTTCCTTATATGAACAGCGGCCTGTAGTCGAGAAGCAAGCAAGATATGCGCTATACCACCCGATCTCAGAAGCAATTGCGTCCGTTATTACTGCGATGCCGAGCAAACTGATCTCCACATTTGCGTTCAATGTACCCCTTTATTTCATGTCCAATCTACGCAGAGAAGCCGGGGCCTTCTTCATCTTCTTGCTCTTTGGGTTCACCTGCACTTTAACGATGTCGATGATATTTCGGACCATTGGACAATCCACGCGGACCGTGTACCAGGCACTCACTCCAACGGCATTCTTTGTTCTGGCCATGGTGATCTACACTGGATACATCTTGCCTACGGCAAAGATGCAAGGTTGGTTGAGGTGGATCCACTGGATTGATCCAATCTATTATCCATACGAAAGTATTATGATCAACGAGTTTAATGGACGCCAATTTCCGTGCTCTCAATACCTACCGTCGGGACCAGGCTACGAAAATTCAACAGGATTGGAGCGAGCTTGCTCGGCTGCTGGGGCTCTTCCAGGAGCCGATTACGTGGATGGAGGTTATTACATAGCTGCCGCATTCGGGTACGATCATTCCCATCTCTGGAGGTAAGTTGGTGGAATTTTCCTGGAAATATTGTCAAAGAAATGCGCTGAACCGTGGTAGAAACTTTGGAATCCTAATTGCATACATCATCTTCTTCACCATTACCTATTTTCTCGCTGCTAGCTATGTCCACACTAACCGATCCAAAGGTGAGGTATTAATATTTCGACGTGGCCGCAAGCCGATAATACCTCTCAACTCTGCACAAGACGAGGAATCAAACAATGGCCCTCTTGCCGATGAAACCAACAAGCTCCAGCAGGTGGCGGCCGATTCGGCAGAACATCAACATACAACAATTCAGATGCACAGTTCCACTTTCCACTGGAGAAATGTAGCATATGAAATCTCAATCAAGGGGAAATCCCGAAAGATTCTGTGTGATGTTGATGGCTGGATAAAGCCAGGGACATTGACCGCCTTGATGGTAATCCTACAACACCCAATGGCTTCCCGTACATGCTAACTTTGAGAACAGGGTGCAACTGGTGCTGGGAAGACAACATTGCTCGATGTCCTTGCGGGTCGAGTAACCATGGGCATTGTCAATGGTCATATGTTTGTGGATGGCAATCCCCTCGATCAATCTTTTCAAAGGAAGACTGGCTACATTCAGCAACAGGATTTACACCTGGAGACATCGACGGTTCGAGAATCCTTAAGGTTCTCTGCCGTTCTTCGTCAGCCCTCCACTACTAGCAAAGAGGACAAGTTCGCCTACGTCGAGGAAGTGATAAGGCTGTTGGACATGGAGAGCTACGCAGATGCTATTGTTGGTATTCCTGGGCAAGGTTTGTGTCTCGACTTCTAAGCTACTTTGAGCAAACATTGACGCTGGTGGAAATACACAGGGCTGAACATTGAGCAAAGGAAGCGCTTGACTATTGCCGTAGAACTTGCTGCCAAACCAGATTTGCTGCTCTTTCTCGACGAACCAACTTCGGGTCTTGACAGCCAAACGGCCTGGTCTATCATGACGCTGCTGAGGAAACTCTCAGTCAACGGCCAAGCAATCTTATGCACGATTCATCAGCCATCGGCATTGCTTTTCCAGCAATTTGACCGCCTTCTGCTCCTTTCAAAAGGTGGTAAAACTGCCTATTTCGGCGACCTCGGGAAAGATTCGAGAT